GGAAATAGGTAGAATTCTAAAGTGATAGATAGAGTGAAACTAGGAGAGGGTCAATTGATGTAAAATCAGTTTCCCTTGCATGCTACTAGCCAGAGACTAATAAAATCAGCCTTGCTTTTTGTTACAGATGAAGAAAATAACTTGTCCAACTTCTCATAACTAGTCAGTAGAGGAGCTAGGCCTTGAAGTTTATTTCAATTTACTGCTAGTTGTTAAAAAAGCATACGTTACTAGTCTGAGGTACTCAGGTGACTAAGCTCCCCTTCAATGACAGGCAATAGTGTGTGCTTAGTCGTAGTGACATTTTATTTTACTTATGTATTTTAAAGAAATAACTCACCTTTTTTTGTTGTTGAGAATTTTGCCTTCAACCACAGTACAACCCCATTAAGAGCTTTGAAGCCCCATCCCAAAGAGTCCAGTGCCATCTAGTGATCAAATTTGAAACTACACATTCTGTGACCTAAGTCTCCTTCCTGCTTGGCTGTTATTACCAAAATCAAAACCAAACTCACTGCCCTTGAGAGAATTACAACTCGTAGCAGCACAATAGCACAGGAACTGTCCCTGTGGGTTTCTGAGACTGTAACTCTTTCTGGGAGTAGAAAACTTCATATTTTTCTCACGGAGCTGCTGGTGGCTTCAAACTGCTGACCTTGTGGTTAGCAGTCCAACATGTAACAACTCCAACAGTACCGAAAACAGAAAAGAAAAAAAATTAAACCATTGAGCCAATTCTGACTCAAAGTGAGCCTACAGGACAGAGTCGAACTGCTCCAGTCGGTCTCCCAGGCTGTAAATCTTTATGAGGAGCAGGACACTCCTCGGGGATTCAAACTGCTGACCTTGCAATTAGCAGCCCATTGCTTGACCAAGGCTCCTTGACAATTATCTTATAAAACAGGCTCTGTCAAATTCCCAGTTCCTTGCCCACTTATTTTCGAACTCAGTTCTCTTGGCTTCTTTCTTTTTCTTTCTTTGTACACTGTCTCTCAGTCACTCTTCTGTTCCACATGGAATCTTGGTGGTACCGTGGGTTAGACATTGGGCTGCAAGGTTGGTAGTTCAAACGCAACAAGCTACTTCATGGGAGACAGATGAGACTTTCTGCTCCCATTAAGAATGAACAGCCTCAGCAAAGGGCATATATAGAGGGCATGTACATATGTAAATATATATATGGGGAAGCAGAAATCAAATTTTGTGCTTATATTTATAGGTTTAGTATTAATGTGGCTGATGGATATTGGGCCTCCACTCAAGTACTCCCTCAATGCAAGAATACTTTGTTCTATTAAATTGGCATTCCATGATCCTCACCATCCCGACACAGTCGCTGAAGATGAAATAGGTGCATAAGAATATATGGTGAAGAAAGCTGATGGTACCTAGCTATCAAAAGATATAGCATCAAGGGTCTTAAAGACTTGAAGGTAAATAAGCAGCCATCTAGCTCAGAAGCAAAGAAGCCCACATGGAAGAAGCACACCAGCCTGTGTGATCACGAGGTGCCAAAGGAAACAGTTATGAGGCATCAAAGGATAAAAAGAATAAAAAATTGTATCATTGTGTACTCACCTTCCTGCTACAATTGCAGAAGACAAATGGGTGCGTAAGAAAATGTGGCGAAGAAAGCTGATGGTGCCTTTTGCCACTATCAAAAGATACAGTGTCTGGGGTCTTAAAGGTTTGAAGGTAAACAAGCAGCCATCTAGCTCAAAGCAAAACAGCCCACATGGAAGAAGCACAACAGCCTGTGTGATCATGGGGTGTCAAAGGAATCATGTATCAGGCATCAAAACAAAAAATCAAATCATTGTGAATGAGGGAGGAGTGCAGATTGGGGACCCAAGACCCATCTGGAGGCAACTGGACATCCTCTTACAGAAGGGTCGCAGGGAGGAGACGAGCCAGTC